ATTAAAAAAAAAAAAAAAAGAAGAAAAAGAAAAAAAAAACACTCTTTCGTATTTCTCTCGAATCTCGTTCACATTCAGAAAATTCGTTATTTGTCTTTGAATCCTTATCTCGATAATTAAAAATCTTTTCTCTGGACAGTTAATTAACCGCGCTCCTCGAATCAAACAGTAATTTCACTCGATGTAATTTGATTCCATCTAGAGAATATAATTAATTATTCCGATATGTTCTTTTTTTCTGATTATTTTTTTCTCAATTAATTAGCAGCGCTTCTAATCCTTTACGTTATTTCATTTTCAACTACGACTGGATAATCTTTACCCATCGTCTAATTATTACAATTACAAATTTCACGGTAAACTTTCTTTCATTGCTGAATTGGAGATTTCGATCAATTCTCTTATCGCGACATATCTTTCGTCGCCGTTTCGCAGAGAAGCCTCTTTCTCGTCGAATATTTTCTTAAGAAACAATTTATAATCAAAATTTTGTCAACGATGATTTGAAACTTTCTTTTCTTTTTCCACTAAAAAAAGATGACACTTTTCCAACAGAAAAAAAAATCTATTCAAATAATCGCATTGTTTCCAAATATTACACTCAAAAAATTGCATTCATTAACGATTCTTCGACTTATGCAGAACCAAAGATTCCAGAAATTATTCTTAATTTATTTTTAATTACTTCCAAAATTTCTCTTCCTCGATAACACAGTTCGTTATTCGCCCCGCAATTAGAAGTTTCATGTAAAATTGGAAACGTGTCACAAGAACGGTTCGACAGCTGCGCTTCCTCCAAATTTCCTCGTATACGACTTTACTCGTTACGGGAACACGGTTTCGAACGGTTCGGTGTAATCGAGCATTTACCTCGGCTCGAGATTCACTTCGCTACAACGTGGGGCCCATGTGATCGCAAGCGCGCATGCACGTGCGGGAAAACGCGTCGCAGCGAGCCTCAAAGTGTTCCGGAAGAACAGTGAGACATACCAGAAATACGTTCAACCGTATTGCGTTTCGTGGAAACGATGCGATTCCTGTTGCAGTTGCACAGTGAATTTCGACACGAAACGTTGATCTTCGATAATTAAAGGATGGCTTGGAAACGTGCGTGCCTCGACAATTGTACGTTCGAATTAATTAGAAGGTATAAAGTAAGTAGAAAGTGGAAGAGAGAGTTTCTAACTTTTTTTTCTTCTTCTTTTTTTAACTTAGTTTGATTTTAAGAATGATTCGAATTCTTCGTTCGATTTTCAAAGAATTTCTAATTCGCGAACAAAAGAAAAGAAAAGAAAAGGAAAAAAAGAAAAACGATTTATTTATTGTATTCTGTTTGAATTATTATTTATAAGAATGTTGAATTGTTGTTACGCTTCTCTGTGTATAATTTATAAACAATTTCTGTAAAAAATTTGGAAAGATTTTACCTAACTAAAAAAAAGAACCTATTGAAGAATATTCATTTAACTATATTCGTCTAGAAATAGAGCATAGCGGAGAGCAGAATCCATTTAACAGAAATGGCAATATTCCATCCATTAATTCACTTTGAATATAAATTCCATTGTTTTCGAACAATAAAATCGTCATGTCAAATACCGTGACGTTGAAATCGTTGCAGAATGCGGCAAGACGAGAGGAAAGGAAAGGATACGGGAAAAATACAGGAACGTAATAATGGTGAAACTAGACCGTCACGAGCTCGATACATAAATTACTACGCCATGCGCATTGTCGGTACATGCCTTTAGGCGGCGCGAGATTCAAACGACATTGCATCAATAATCGTTTTATCCTCGTAATGAGGTATCGAGCGAGAGAAAGGCAATGGATTCGAATTTTCGCTCGAACCACGATGATTTTCTTTCGAATCAATTTACCTAACGTTTTGCACCGTTGTAAGAATTAAGATATTTATCAAATTTTACGAAAATTTATGATATCTTACTTAACTGTTAAATTATTAAGCAATTTAAATTTGCTTAAATTAAACGAAACGCATTAGAGATAGATACATCAATTTTTGTTTCGCTTCTACAATTAACCCTCCTTAAATTTCATAAATATATTAACACGTATTACGTATAATTAAATCGATGTATATATCGACATTAAGATTACCCGTAACAAATATTTAAATACAATAGGAATAAAATTAAAATATATCGAGAGAAGAAATTATTAACTAAATTAAACGAGAAAACAACTCTCTATGTTGATATTAAAACAATTTAACACGAAGAAGTTTCACAAAAGAAAAAGTTACTGGAACAGATATTAAATCGCCAAGTTATCTCCTTCGAGGTCGAAAAGCATAAAAGCATAAATTTTTCCATCCGTTATCCGCGTTATTCACGGCAGAAACGAAATAAGAAAAGGGGAGGGGAGGGAGGAGCAAAACTGGATCGTAATCGAACACTTAGGATGGAAAGTTGAGCGGGTGTTTAACAACGGCGAGTTTAAACAGCGAGCATTTTAAAGCGTCGGGTCTCGCTCGAGAAGATCGATAAATATCTGAAAGCGAGATATCACCGCGAGTGATGAACGATCCCGCGCAAACATCTTGATGCAAATATTAATTAGACGTGTATTAATCGCCATTTATCCCGATTTAAATTCCTCCCCGCGAATTACGTCCCCGGATAGGAATTCATTTCCGAGACGTGGCCGTAAGCGGAGTATCCAGCCGAGTTTAACGTGACACACATCTCGCTCATTACCGACTTAATCGGCGAATTCCCCGAGGAAGCCTTGCGTTGACAGTTTAAACTACGTGGCGAAGCCCGGATTCTAACGTAATAACTAAATATCCGTGGCGCTCTCCAACTCGTCGCCGCCTAATGGAATCGAATTTTCGCGAATTATTTCAATCGACGCGTTGCTGAGAGTAGTTGCGTTTCGGGCGACGATTTCGTTTGTGTCGAGTTTGGCGATTGGTTGGATTTTCGAAAATCGAACGAATTGAAAAGGCGGATATTTGGAATATTTCGAGTTCGACTAACCTATTCGAGCGGAAATGTATATTTATTCTGATTTTAACGTAGTACATTTCTTTTATAATAGAAATGTATTTTCTGTGTTGTGAAGCTTTGAATCATCGTAATTATAATTTAAAGGAAGAATTATTTTTCGATTGATATTTTGACGATTAAGATTATATCACGAGCAATATTATAAGTGTTTTATAGAAATGTAATAATAAATGTTTGGATTTACGTTTAATTTAACAGAAAATCAGACCAGGTAAAATGGGAATCTTAATTTAGCGTGAAATTAAAAAAATCTCTAAACTGATTGTGAGATTACCTCTTAGGTACTTACGATAAGATGTTATATTTTGCAGCTCGTTTATAGTTGAAATATTACCTGCAATAAAAAAAAAATTAAAATAACATCGAAATATTTGACGATAATATTTGTTATTTTATATATATATATATTTTTCTTCCTCCCCAAACTTTTATTTTTATTTTTCAATCTCCTTTATTCCTTTTTCCCCCGCGAAAGAAATTTATCTCGGTCCAAGACACGTATATAACAAGAGCTTTAAGCTTTAAATATACGTACTTCCAGAAATTTTACAACGACTCCGGTTAACTCGCGTTATAAAGTCTCGAATTTCTCGTTCTCGAGACTCGGCAAGGTGGCATTAATTTCGTATAAATTCGGACGGAACAATATTCCGGATGCACAAGCTATGACAGGGTGTAGTAAGTTGCATGGTGTTTAGCGCGGAGTCACGGCTAAAAATATCTGGCAAAGCGAGAATAAACGTTTACGAAAATAACAAAGACAGTTTTACCCTGTTGACCTGGAATTTAAAGTACCCCGGTTAAAGCAATTCGGTTTAGATAAAATTAACGCTGCCTTCTTCTTCGGATCCTTGTTTTATCTCCAAAACGAATTCACACGAGGTGTAAAATTACCGTTTCAAATCATCAAAAATCGTTTTTCTCGCGTCGCAATGTAATGAATCGCAACAAACGATTATTTAAAAAATTATTAATCAAATATCTCTCTCAGAAAGGGAATACGCAAAGAGAGAAACGCTTGCCACGATAATCATTACATCAAATATATTATATTACGTTAAAATTGATTCGATATCATAATAGTACCTCCAAAACTAATAATATTATTTTTCCTGTCTATAGCTAACGAATAAAATATCAAAGCGAATCTGCATACAATACAATTGAACGCGGTTAAACACGTTAAAACCCCGCAAGTATCCAACCCGCGCATGGCTTCCCGCAAG